CACCCCCAAACCCTGAACCACCCAGTTCCATCGGCGCCTGGGACGTTTGGGTGCCGGCGCAGCGCGTAGTAGTGCATCCTTAAGCGGGTTCAAGGTTCAGGGTTTTAGAGGGGGCTTTAGGGCTTTCATGCTTTCGGGCAAGTGCCTCAACAGCGTTTGGGGCTCTGTGCGCCCAAAGCAAGACCGCGAACTTTGGCCCAGGGTCTCAAACCCGTAGCTTTACAAGCCCTGAGCCCCAAGCTTAGCCCAAGCAGCTTTCAACCCTGAACCCTACGCCCTAAACCCTAAACCCCAAACCCTAAACCCTAAACCCTAATTAAGCCCCAACACCCCACACCCGAAACCCTAAACCGCCGGCTCCAAGGGTCTGCCCCGGCTGGCGGTCGTAGACCAGAAAGCCGAGGAGGAAGGCTCCGTCCAGGCTGCCCTGCGAGGCCTCTGAGGCTGAGGGGGAGTGGTGGAGATAGAAAAACACAGAACGAGAGAAAGAGAGAGAAAGAGAGAGAAAGAGAGAGAAAGAGAGAGAAAGAGAGAGAAAGAGAGAGAAAGAGAGAGAGAAAGAGAGCGAGAAAGAGAGAGAGAGAGAGAGCAGCCGAACCTCGAACACGCCGAGCCTCAAACTGTCCCTGAAGCCCAGGATCCTAAACCCGGAACCTTAAACACCAAACCCTAAGCCCTAAGCCCTAAACCCTAAACCCTTTTAAACCCTAAGCCCTAAACCCTAAACCCTAAACCCTAAGCCCTAAGCCCTAAGCCCTAAAACCCTAAACCTCTAAGCAGTGCTGCGCCGCCTCAGCAAAGGCAAAGCAGCGACTGCTCCTGTCGAGGCCAAGGACCCCAGGCAGGGTATGCAAGGCTCATATAAGGGGTATATATGTGTACATGTGTATATATATATATATACATTTATACATAGGTATGCGAATTATAAGGGGTGTCTGTGTATATATGCAGATGTAGCGGTGTGTAGATATATATATATATATAGAAACATGTACAAGGACACCAAGGGCTGTTGTATGAACACCGTCTGATTGACGGGGCGTCTGCAGGAAAGCTGCCACCTGAAACTGGCCTAAACAAAACTGTCTAGCCCCCCGCACCGTCCCTTTTCACTGGATTCAGGGCTCAGGCCCCAGGGCTCAAGGGCTGTCTGGGGTTTCGAAACTCAGCGTTTGCAAACAAGCCCCCAAAGCCCAAACCGAACAAATCCACCCCCGAACCCCTCCTGGACCCCAAAACCCCAAGCTCCCAAATAGAAACCCCGCCCTTGCTTCAGAAAACGACACACGCGTGCAGCAGGTCCTGTACTCCGGCACCGGCTCCACGTCCACGATCTCCAAGTCTTTGGTAGCAGCCGCAATTTTCAGTGCCTTCACAGCGCGGCCGAATAATCACTGTAGCTATGCAAAATCATCATCATCATCATCATCGTCGTCATCATCATCAGAATATTCATAAGATAGTAACACTCATAATCGTAATCACAACATAATCATAATCAATAATCATAATCATAGTGGAGAGGTCTAGGGTGCAAGGGTTTAGGCTCAGGGCTTCAAAGCCAGATATCCAAAAAGGAGGCCATGAAATCCTGGGGTGATCAGGCAAGAGCTGCAAACAAACAGTCGCGCCCTCACGGAGCCCCAATTGTACTCCGGGCGCGGCCTCGACATCGAAGAAGCCACTGGGCATCTCGTTGAGCGAAGGTATCTCGCAATGCTGGCTCCACGGATACTACGTGCTTGCCTCATCTCATCTTCCTATCTTTCTTTCCACATGTCTATCTAGTAGTCGCTTTGCAAGTCCTTATTGGTTTCTGCTCTGCTTTTAAGATGCCGACAAGAGAGTGCGAACGGTTTCACTTGGACAAAGGCTGACATCAAGCGACCTCACGCGCTCCGCAGATCTTCAAGAATACAACCTCAAAGCCCAACCCCTAACCTCCCTGGAACCTACACGCCAAACCCAAAAAAAACTGAACTTCCAAGCCGAAACCCGAAACCCCAACATCCGAGCCTGGGCGAAGCTGCCACCCTCGGTAGCCTGGGCGTGCTGCGCCTCTGCCTGCTGCAGCTCCTGCGAACGGATCGGAGGCTTTTCAGAGGGCTTGGGATTTCATGGCTGAGGGGTGAGGAGGGATTGGGCTTCAGGGCTTCGAGTCTCCTTGGGGCTTTTGGGGTTTGTGGGCGGGGGGGGGGGGGGGGGGGCTTTGGGGGATGAAGATTTGGGACCGAGCATTCTGGGGTCACGCGCAGGGGTGTGGCTTTGGGGCGTCGGGGAAAGTCCTGGCTGCTGTGAGAATCGCAGCACTGCTGCGAGATGGCACTACCCTGATGGCGGCATAGGTCCTACGCACAGGTCCTCAATGGAGAACATCGGCCGCTGGCAGAGGTTGTTCAGGGCATTCCTGGGGCACATTGACGACGGCCCAGGCTTCAACCCCACACCCTACATAGAGGTTAATGGTACTTATGAACCAATTATAACTGTACTTATAACCCAATTCTAACCCTAATAGGGCACTTGAGAACCTTATAAGTGGGTTATAAGTACAGTTATATTTAGTTACTGAGTACCCTAAACCCTGAACCCTAAACCCTGAACCCCAAACCCTAAACCCTAAACCCTTCAGTATTGGGTTCATTAGTACTCTGAACCGCCAAGTAAGCCCCAACACCGATCTGGCGATGTTCGGCTGCCTGGATGGGTCTCGCTGCATGGGCTCTTTCTTGCCACATAATGCCAACAACATTATTGCGTTGCTTATATATATATATATATACACATATACATATATATATATATGAATATCTTAATATATTACACATCAACTTCCATATTCTTCATGCGTGGACTTCTGACAGAAACGGCCCTAAACTCTAAACCTCGGACGTGGCCGTCAAAGAAACCATTCCAGGAGATGTAGGAGTTCGCGTTTGAGACTTCAGCGTTTTAGGGTTCAGCCACTCAATGCCCGACCCTCAACCCTGTGCTCCAAACAAGTGACTGCGAAGAAAAAACAACCCTAAACTTTAAACATTATACTAAATCCTAAACCCTAAACCCGAAGCCCAAAACCATAAACCCTAAACCCTAAACCCCAACACCTAAAAAGCCTTCAACCCCAAAACCCTAAGCGCCGCCCTGCGTCTGCCCGCAAGTGTCCGAGCCCGGCTCCTGGTACTCGAAGTAGACATCTGGGAATTCTTCAGAAGTCGGTTGAGGGTTCATAAAGGTTTTATATAGGGTTTATGAAGGATTCATATAGGGTTGAGGGTTTATATAGGGTTAGAGAGGGTTTACATAGGGTCTAGGGTTTAGGGTTCAGGGACCCTCATAAGGCTTCTTGTCAAAACAAACAAGCGCGGGAAGTCACCCAACCAGACGCCCCTGATCTTTGGAACAATTCCTATACATTCTGAGGCATCAGCCCCCTAAGGCTTAATAGGCAGAAGCCTAAAGCTTCAACCCCTGGTTTTCGGGTCTGCGCAAGTAAATGTACGGCCCCAGCACCCGCTTGCTGCCCCAGCAAGAAGGAGCCTAAACCCTAAACCCTAAACCCTAAACCCTAAACCCCAAACCCTAAACCCTAAACCCTAAACACTAAACCCCAAACCCTAACCCTAAACCCTAAACCCTAAGCCCCCAGCTCATCTCGCGCATGGTCTGTGCCGTGAGAGGGGTCCCCAGCTGGGGGCTGCTGGTCTCAATCGACTCCTGCAGCGCACGCTGCATATCGGCCTGCGCCCACATTGAGGGAGGGCTCAGGATATTAGGGGTGCCTTCTTGGGGTCCTTTATTCTAAGGGAAGCCTACTTTTGGGGGGGGGTCTCTTGTAGGGGTCCCTGTTTTCGAAAAACCCCCCCATGTAGGGTTTGGGACTTCGGGGTGCCTACGCCTTTTGTGCAAAGAAGCTGCCTGGCTCCAGCTGCCACTGTGGCTATACCCAACTGGCATGGGCACAGCCATGGATCCCAATCCATCGGCGACAAGGCCGCAAGATGTCTGCAACTACATGGACCGGCCCTCTGTTTTTGTTTTTTGGTGGGTTGGAGGTTAGTTTTCGGGGCTGAGCAGCGTCATGGGCTCAGTTGGGGTGGGCTTTCCATAGCAGTGTACAGCGTACTCCTTGCGCTGTTTCTTTGTGGTGGCCACGCAAACTCCATAAGTTAGCTCAACCTCCAATATCTCCACATATCTCCACTAGTCCATGCTGCTAGTTCCCCTGCAAACAGTAAGTCATCCTACCAAGCTGTTCGGCTTTCGAGACAGGTCGAGCTTGAACCAACAGCTGATGCCAACCGCAACCCTGAATCCTCAATGCAGCTAGTATACTCCCATACTTGGAGGTTCATGGTACTTCATGGTACTCAATAACCAATTATAGCTGAACTGATAATCCACTTTTAAGCCCCTTCAGTGCCCTAATATGGTTATAATCGGGTGATAAGTACAGTTATTATTGGGTTTATAAGTACCATGAACCTCCAAGTACTAGCTGGATGACAGGGCCCAAACTTGATTTAAAGCAACTCTCTGATGCGCACGTACCACCTCCTCACCTACTGCACAAGTCAAAGTTCAGCAAGACGCGACAACGCCCTCAACGCGGAGGGTTTAGGGGTTGGGAGTTTAGGGTCTCTTCGTCAGCCGAAAACCATCTAACAATGCGACTTCGGCCTGCAGTGTGATGTCTTTGGGCTCGAGCTGAAAGCCTCAAAAAAACACACAACAGGGCGTGTGCTATTCAATGCCGAATAGGCGTCCCTGATCCCGAAGCTTGAATCCGAAAGCCGAGGGAAAGGCCCACGCCTGAGAGCCTCAGAGGAGCTCCGCACCCATGAACAGAATCTAGGGTTTTGGGTTCAGGGTTTTGCCCCTACCACTCCGAGCCAGGCCCATGGGTGCCAACCAAAAACTCCGCAGAAGGCGCGTCTTTTTTTTTTGCTGGGCCCTTCTTCCCCTCTCCATCTGCTCCACCGGCCTCCCTGCTTCCCTCAAGCCACCAGAGCGGCCCGGTAGCCTCCTCACATCTCCAAGGGATAGGAACCACAAAAAAAAAAAAAAACACAGCGCAGCCGGAAAAAAAAGTGAGAGGGGTTTAGGGTTTAGGGATGTGTTGAAGAGGTGACGAGAGTTGGATGCTCTCCAGTGGTGAGGTCACAACTTCCCCGCGGGCTTCACACCCAGAAAAAACCCACCTAGATGGATATACGTACAGATATATATATATATATACACACACCGATCTGTACTTATGATCATGTGTCCTGCTGATGTCTCATTTTCTCTGCATATAAACCCTTAAAATCAGAACAAAATCAAACGATAACAAACAACAAACAATGCTGAAAAGCTCGCGAAAGGTAAAGCGTCGCTGCAGCTTGAAGATCTGGTAGGCCGCTGAGAGCACCAGGGAGGCGGCACCCGCCTGAAGAGAGACTAGGGTGTAGGGCTCTCAAGAGTTTAGGGTATAGGGCTTCGGGTTCAGGATTTAGGGTTTAGGGTTCCGGCTCTTCGAAAGTTGTGGGCCTTTTGTCATGTTAACGTTCAGAAAACCGTAACGGCTCAAAACTGGGCATTTCAAACTCCAAAAAACCTAAACCCTAAACCCTAAAAGTGCTCAAATCAGCTCCGGGCGGCGATCTTCGCGAAGGTGGTGAAGAGCACGCGCTTGTTGACGACCATGCCTCGGGAGGACTTCGGGGGGCGGCTTCCTCCAACAATGAAAGCTCTAAGGGCTTACTTTAGGGTCCAGGGGTTAGAGTTTAGGGCTTCAGGTGAAGATGATTCACAAGCCTACGGAGGATTTCAGTGGGTGGGGGGGGGGCAATCTCCAACGGAAAGCTTTCTCGAAACCCTAAACCCTAAACCCTAAACCCTAAACCCTAAACCCTAAACCCTACGTGAAAACTCGAAAGGATTTCCCGGGTCATCGGCTCGAGGGGCCCGTGCCGTAGAGCTCGAAGCCCAGGCCCTGACCCCGATTGGCTCCTTTCATGCGGGACAGGGTTTAGGGTTTAGGGTTTAGGGTTTAGGGTTTAGGGTTTAGGGTTTAGGGTTTAGGGTTTAGGGTTTAGGGTTTAGGGTTTAGGGTTTAGGGTTTAGGGTTTAGGGTTTAGGGTTTAGGGTTTAGGGTTTAGGGTTTAGGGTTTAGGGTTTAGGGTTTAGGGTTTAGGGTTTAGGGTTTAGGGTTTAGGGTTTAGGGTTTAGGGTTTAGGGTTTAGGGTTTAGGGTTTAGGGTTTAGGGTTTAGGGTTTAGGGTTTAGGGTTAGGGAATCGGGGCCCTAAGTCATATACCCTTTTAAGGGATTCTAGAGGGTACCATTCGGGCCCTAAGTCATATACCCGTTTAAGGGATTCTAGAGGGTACCATTCGGGCCCTATACCCTTTAAGGGATTCTAGAGGGTACCATTAGGGCCCTATACCCTTTAAGGGATTCTAGAGGGTACCATTGGGGCCCTATACCCTTGAAGGGATTCTAGAGCCCTGGCTCCTTTCATGTAGGACTCGGTCAGCTGGATGTGCGTGTTGTCTGCCGGCTCACTGACGCCTCTCTTGCGCGCTTGTCCCTCTGAGAGAATCACAAAAAAAAAACTCCCAGGTTCTGCGAAGAATATGGAGAAGAGAGGCTGGTTCTTAGTAGGGAATGAAGGAATGCAGTGGCCCATGCAATCCCTTAAAGGGCATATATCGCACCCGAACTCCCTCATTCCCTACTAAGAACCCGGGAGTTGAGGAGGCCCTGGCATGCTCTCTCCCTTCGCAAGGAGACGACCCCTCGTGGCTCGCGTGGCGCCTCGCAACAAGTTCAGCTTCTCCTGAAGCACGTCGCAGGCGTCGGAGACCATGGCAAGAGGCAGAAGGCAGAGGAGGCCCACCGGCAGATGGATGGCGAAGACCGCCACCAGGGCGCCCAAGCCCGACCGGATGATCTGGGCCTCGTCGGCTGCCGTGAGATTCAGGAACACCTGGGTGCTCAAAGTCCAACTTTTGTAAACTTTCTTATGGGAGCCGGAATTCAACCAGGGGGCCCCTAAACCCTGAACCCTGAACCCTAAGCCCGAAACCCTAAACCCTAAAGCCCTCCCTGTCAGACCTTGACAAAGGCCAGGGTCCAGTTGCAGACCGCGAAGGCGCAAGTTGGGCCGCTCAGGCCCTTCAGGTGAGGAAGGACCTCCTCAGCCAGCTTGACCACCTTGGCTGTCCAGTAGAGGGTTTAGGGTTTAGGGCTTAGGGCGGAGGGTTTAGGGTTTAGGGATGAGGGTTCACGATTTAGGGTTGAGAGTTTAGGGTTTAGGGTTTCAGGTTTAGGGTTTAGGGTATGTTTGGGGGACGTAGAGGTTGACCTGCGAGGCTTCTTCTAGGGAAGATCACGACACCCCCGAAAGGTCAAAAGGTTGCCAACATGAAAAACACAAGCCACCCACTTGTGCATGTCATTCAGCCACCGCTTGCTTATCCCGTCTTTGCCCTCCGCTCTGTCAAACTCTTCCTTTTCCTTATTTCTCCAAACCACGGGGATACAGGATTAGACTTTACTATTCCTACCAAATAAGGAAACCCAAAAGCTTAAAGTTCAACTATTGGCTAAGTAAGTTTCCTTGCGATGCATGATGTCAATCTTCGTGGTCAGCACGTCCACGTGCGCCTGGACTGTGCGAGCCACAACCGAGGCTTCCAGCATAAACATGAAGAAGAGCAAGTACAAGAGCCCCTGCTGGTTGATGTCGTCCATCTCCTCTCGGCTGCACTTAGCAGGTGGCTTATGAGTTTTTAATTTTCCTAGCTGCCTTATGAAGAAGCCCAGTACAAACCCAAAAAGGCCAAGCACCGGAGAGTCCTGGAACATCATGGCCAAGAGGGGGCCTGCGTCCTGGGAGGTCAGGAACTTCGCCGCCGCACCAAGGAACTTATATGTGGCCCGCCCGATGAAGCCATACGTGAGCAGCAAGGTGGGTAGGAACGCCGCAAAAGCCAAGAACCGGAGCTGATCCCCCAAGACGCCCTGGATCTCCACCAGCTCCTTCTCTTTCCCGAGCTTCCCGCGTCGTATGATCGACTCCAAGGTATTGGGTGGGATCAAGCGCGGACACTCCGCGCTCTCCTGCCGCTCAGCCCTAACCCCAAATCCCTCTCAGGGTTGAATCAGGGTTTAAATGGGGGCTTAATTCGGGTGTACTGATGTAGAGTTTAACTAGGGTTGGATTGGCGTTTAGCTAGGGTTGCATTGGGGTTTTGGAGTTTAGGGTTGCAGGTTTAGCGGGTTTCAGGAGCAGCGCATGCTCTCCTCTAGGAAATGGTTGCACGCCACGGCGCGCAGGCCAACGACCACGGCGACGCAACAGCCGAGCCGGAGCAGCAACATAGCCAAGTCGAGGCCCACCATCAAGGGCTCGTCCGGCCTTAGAGTGGAGGAAGAAGGGTTTCGGCTTGAGGGTTTAGGGTTTGGGGTTAAGGGTTTAGGGTTAAGGGTTTAGGGTTTAGGGTTTAGGGTTTGGGGTCTAGGAGCAGCTAGCAGGCTTCTCAAGGGTTTGGTTTCGGGCTTAGGGTTTGGAGTTGTTTGTAATGTTGGACTGGCTTTAGTGGATGGGACCACTATTCTGCGATTCTCCGATCCGCTTATACAGAACCCCCCATTGTTTAGGGTGGTTCACAATTATGCGATGTTGTCCCGGCTGGGGTTGAAGGGCGGGGGGCCGGGGAGCCAAAAACAAAACAAAAAAGTTTTGAATAAGAACCTCCGGATTTGTTGGTGTCCAGCCTTATTTAAATTCCTTGTAAAGTTTCATTACGAAACAGGCCCCCAACAATTTTCCAAGGGAGTAGCCCACGAGCTGCCCTGATTCGCTTTAGCAAGTTGTTTCGGTGGTCCGCATTAATGCGGAGCCCCGGCGACCGTGGAGCTATTAAGCCTGGAAAGCTTAGACCCTCAAGCTTCAAGGCTTCCCCTCAACCCTCGACCCCTAGCCGCCCTACCCCCGGCCCCCGTCCCAGCCCCATCCCACATTATTAAGGATCCCCGAAAACCCCAAAATTGTTTGGGGGGCGGGGGGGGGGGGGCCCTGCGCACTAAAGCGAGTCCAACATTAGAAAGCTTCCATTCCGATTCAACCCCAGTTTCAAGAGCTGCACATGGAAGATGACTGCAGCCGCACACTCCGTGCCCAGGAAAACGCCCAGGAGCGCCTGCGTGTACCTGCGGACTTGAAGGGCTTGGTGGCTTGTTTTTCGAACCCTAAGGGTCCATGTACCTGTATAGTACATACTTGGCCTTAAAGGGGCTCCTATATCCTAGCTTTAGGGCCGAAATATATACTACAGTACATGGGTACATGGACCCTTAGGGGAAACTTCAAGCCAGGTACTAGGCATAAAGGCAGCTCCGCAAACTAAGCCTCGAATCGGGGCTCCGAGAAACCCCCTCAGAGGGAATCCTCGGAACCCTAAACCCTAAACCCTACACCCTAAACCCTAAGCCTTCTGAATCAACTCACAGGAGCCATCCCTTCATGCAACGGGCGAAGGGGGAGTCGCCCAGCATGTAGGCCGGCCTGCTATGGAGTTCAGAGCTCAGGGTTCAGGGTTCAGGGTTTAGGGTTTAGGGTTTAGGGTTTAGGGTTTAGGGTTTAGGGTTTAGGGTGTAGGGTGTAGGGTTTAGGGTTTAGGGTTTGGAGGGTTCAGGGGCTTCAATTCAAGGAGGCCCCCACCTCATCTCAATCAGCAGCCTCTCCTCGTCCTTCGCCGCCGTTTGCATGTGGGCCTCCTTTGCAGGGCCTGTGGCGGCCGAGACTTCTGGGCTTTCTGCCGGAGGTTCCTGGGCTCCCTCACCCTCCAGGCCGCTTCGATGAGTCGGGGTAGTGGCAGCCGGGGCCTTGAGATCTTCGCTGGCTTCTGCGGGGGCTGGAGTATCTGTGTCGGGCTTCACGCTGACCAGCGCCCCTTTGCGAGCAAGCTGGGAGAGCAGGCAGGGAAGCGTGCAAAATGCGACGTAGACCGTCATCGCCGCTGGGAATATCCCAATGCCCAGAAGCACCCTGTGGGCGAATCCCGACTCTGGCCGAAGGAAGGTGACTCTATAGTTCTCAGTTCCGTTCGCCAACTTGGCCCACAAAGGATTGAGCACGGCCGGTGACACAAACTCCACGTTCCGCCCGTCGATTGCGGCAACTGTGTAGTTGTCTAAACGACGGGTGCGGGTCGGGTTCGAGTCCTTCTTCACGATGCTGGTGTGTCCAGCCCCTTCCGTCAACTCAATGCCCGGAGGCTCCTTCGCAGTGAATTCGATCGGGATGCCGAGTCCGTCGTCTGTACCATCATCGCCCTCCTCCGCGCGAGCGGCTGTGGCATTTGAAGCATTGTCAGCATCTGGATCCAGCTCTCCTTACCGTTGGTTGGTCGGGAATGAGGGAATGAGGTACCCTACATAATCCCTTAAAGGGTTTAAAAAGGGATTATGTAGGAGGGAATGAGGTATGTCACTATATAATCCCTCATAAAGGGTTTAAAATAGGGATTATATAGGATCCCCTACATAATCCCTTAAAAGGTCTATTATAGGGGATGTGGTCGGGTACCCTATATACTCCCTTAAGGGGTATAGGGGGATAGAGGGTACCTCATTCCCTCATTCCCTACTAACCACCAGTAAGTCTCTTAGGAGTTCATGAGGCCGGACAGCTTGGATTGTGAGAAGGCCGAGGAAGATGCCGGCCACTGCCAGCGAAGGGAAATACGTAAGGCCAGTGCATGGCATCTAGACTTTAGCAAATTACCCCACCAAAAATGGCTCCTTGTAGCTTGAGCACAAGCAGACCGTACACCAGATTGGGTCTGCTTGCTGCGAGCTGTCAATCAGGAAACACCATAGGGCTTCTTGGGCTTATAATAGGCTTGGGGGTGCTTCTGTAGGTGCTTCACCAATAGGTGCTTCATCAAGCTATATAATGTGGATCTTGGGGCGGCTCGGCATTTGATCTCCCCATGGTGCACGCCATTGCCGGCTGCTACATTAGCTTGCACGCAAAGAGACTCGCCCACTACGAGACGGAGTCCCAAGGCGGGAGCACCCTGGTAAAGCCAAGCTTGCAGGGCTTTGCCCTTGCATGGCTTGCAGCGGTCTTGCTTTTAGAGAGCGCGAGGTCAAGGCCTATTGGACAAGCCTTGGCCTTAGAAAATCGTACTGGGACATTCCACTTCTGGATTGTCCGAGATCCAACGGGTTGCGGTCCAACCTCCATGTACGTCACCTGATGAGCAGCTCCGCCCCGACGCTGTGAAACCAGGTAACCAAAGCCATCTCAGATGGGAAGAATCATATCGGAAAGACGTGCTCAATGTTCACTTCCAGCTTTGCTTTGACGTCTTGGGTGTTCTGGTGCAATGCCAGAATCCCTTCAAACCCCTGCTGAGCATTCTTCGCCTGCAACGTGCCAGATGCCAGCAATGTCGAGGCGCTTGGGGAGCCAAATATGGAGAAGATAAGCGTTTGCTGCGGCCACACATGGAAACACATGTCGGATAGGTCTGCACGCTCCCAGCTCGAGCTCAGCATGCACGAGGCAAATTTTTGCGGGTGGCCCAGGACCTCCACGGAAAGCCTCAATGGAGACCCGGATGAAGGTGAGAAAGCATGACCTGCATCGTCAATCACAGTGATCTCGGCCAGACATAACTCGAAGCCTTTCTCCTCAAACTCCGGCCAAAGACTTGCCGCAGTTGCCTTCTTCTGTGGTCTGAAGCGCATGGCAATCGATCTCGAACCCACCTTGCTGGCCGGGCCTAAGAAAACCTTGATCGCCAGATCCGCTCCGACCGTTGCCAACCATTTCGTGCCATCGGCCAGGCTAACACTTGCCAGGAAGATACAAATGACAAGGGCAGAAAGCAGAAAGTAGCCGATTGCAAAGCTCCAGAAGTACTCATTCTCCCAGCCCTGGATTACGAACAAGAGCTGCGCAGGCCCTCGCGCCAAAAGCGTCGCGCCAATTGCAACGACGGTGCTACTGACGATGAGCGTCAAGAGCTCGCTTTTCAGGTCGCAGTCGATGTCCTGGCCCGGGGCGAGGGCCGTCGAGCTGTAGAAGAGCGCCGAGAAGGCCCAAGCACTGTAGATCTTGACAAGGAGCAGGCTCCATCTGCGGCAACTGGTGTTTTTGCTGGAAAAGCTTAAGAAGGTCATCCAGGGGCACGTGGCCAAAAACTGGACACCGAACTGCTGCAGGGGGTTCATCCTCTCGAATCGCTGCAAAGAGGCCACCACCTGGTTCTTTGTGAACGAGACGGTCTCTTGTTCGTTGTAGGGATAGTGGTAAACATTTAAATATATATTCCGAATTGGGTTTAAGTACCCATAAACATGTAAAGTGTTATCCAAGTATGACCCAGGTTTGTGTGAAGGAGGCTCCCACAATCGCCTACCTATGGTCTATAGAGGTCTCAATAGTGACTTGATTCTGTTCGCGCTGGGGAAAATGTTTTGGAAGTTCAATGATTTTAAAAACAGCTCAGTGCCAGGTTTTTTGCGGGTTTTTGCGGCTTGGCCAGTAGGCTGGTAGGCTGTCACTGTACAAGCTGCCATTCCGAACCGACCAAAGCGCCTTTCAAATGGTCAACTTGGAATGAAACAAATTGCAAGGCTTGGAAGCCTCGAAGGGCTTAGGGTTTAGGGTTTAGGGGCTCAGGGCTTAGGGTTTAGGGTTTAGGGTTTAGGGTTCAGGGTTGAGGGTTTAGGGTTTAGGGTTTAGGGTTTTTTTGGTTTAGGGTGATCTCTCAGCTGCTTCCAGCACCCGGAAGTCTAATGACAAGATGTCCGCAGCGAGCGGATTCGCTGTTGAAGTTGTACTCTGACAACTTTTTGCCATCTTCCAATGACGTGCCACGAAAGATCAATCGTTGTTGATCCACGGCTGTGCCCTCCAGTTCTTGAACTTTCGCTTTCAGAGTCTCTACTGAGTCACTGTCCTGCACATCAATTGTCAGCGTCCTGCCAGTGAGTGTCTTCAAGTAGAGTTGCAGCGGACCACCTCCTCGCAAGCGCAGCAGCAAGTGGACGGTTGACTCAGACTGGATCTTATAATCCGAGAGGATCTGGCTATCTTCAAGCCGCCTGCCGGAGAAAATGAGCCACTGCTGATCACAAGGGATGCCCTCCTTCTCTTGAATCTTTTTCTTCAACTGCTCGACGGTATCACTAGCCTCACAATCAATGGTGCAGGCTTTGCCAACCAAGAACTTGATGAAGACCTGCATGCCACCACTGCCACTGCTGCCACCGCTGCCACCGCGCAAGCGTAGTATCAAGTGGAGAAAGGACTCCTTGAGGATGTGGTAGTCCTCCAGAGTCTTTCCATCCTCCAAACGCTTGCCTTTATAGATCAGGCACTGATGGTCAGTCGGGATGCCCTCCTTGTTGTAGATCTTGGCCCTGAGGTCTTCAACAAGTTCTCTGGGGTCTACATCCACAGTGTGGGTCTTGCCGTCCAGGCTCTGCACGAAGATCTGCATCCCAGCCTGTAAGACCAAGTGGAGAGTGGAATCGCTCTGGATTCCGCAGTCCGAAAGGCTGCGGCCATCTTCCAACTGATTCACTCCAAAAACCAGTCGTTGCTGACACAGTGGGATGCCCTCCTGGTCTTGGATCTTGGCTTTCACCTTGTCACTGGTGTCGCTGGACTCGACATCCAGGGTGATTGTCTTGCCACTCAAGGTCTTCACAAAGACCTGCATGCCGCTGCCATCACGCAAGCGGGTCATCAAGTGGGGAGTGGACTCGGAATTCTGGACATTGTACTCCCCAGCGGTGTGGCCGTCTTCAAGGGGGATGCCCTCGATGTCTGAAGTCTTGGCCACCTCCATTTTCATGATCTTGCCAGAAGCCATGGCGTCACAAAGGCTCCAGAGGTTTGATCTCGAGATATGACCCCGCCCCCCTCGGGCTTTTCTCCGATACAGGTTGCACAGATGCATGCAAACAAGCCTTACGGACCGCCAGTATGGGGACCCTAGTTTTTAGAAAAGACATATGCCCCCCCCCCCCCCCCCTAAACCAGCCGAGAGGGCACCTCCTCGTGCAGGGGAGTCCGGCCCGCCATCTCATAGAGCTTGTCGAGCTGCTTGAAATCGACGCCGACGGAGGCCAGGGCCACCTGGGAATGGGCCGCTCGCGCCAGCCTCATTGTTGGTTAGTAGGGAACGGGCGAATGAGGTACCCTGTAAAATGATCCCTTAAAGGGTATATAGGGTTACCCCTACTTAAAGTTGCCTTAAAGGGTAGATATAGGGCCCTCACTCCCCCACTCCCTGCTAACCAACAGAAAGCAGCTGGTCACTCGCTGTCTCTATGGAGGCAAGCACGTCACCAGGGATTGCGTGTTGGCGCAGAACATCGCGCCAAGCAGGTCGCCCAGAAAACTCATGCCGATCATGAAGTGCCGCACGTTCATGAACCGGATGCACCGGAAGTCGCAGAAGAGCATGAGCTTGTCGAAGGGAGTCAGCTTCACTTTGCCCTTTGGGTTCTCGTAGGTACATCCGCACCTCCTTCTTCCTCTGGGCATGCCAGAGATCTGCGATGCGAGAGAGCCGCAGAGAAGCGCAACAGCGAGGCACAAGAAAAGCATGTTGAGCATAGGAGCCAGCTTCCTGAACGCATTCAAGTCGATCAGGGATCGAAAGCCTTCTTCGGAGAAGATCGAGGCGGCATTGCTGCAGACCAGAGTGGCCACGACCGCCTTCAGGATCATTGCGAAGAGTGAGAGGTGCCTCAATTGTCCAGTATCCTAGTGGAACCAAAGGTTCACCTTTGGGACGATATAGGGATTGTACAATGAAAAATACCCCAGATCCACTACTAAGGTGCGTTGTTGAGCATGACACCGTGCCATTGCCCGCCCCCAGAGTCTCCACACCTTCTTCTGACCAGTCCTTCATCTCCGTGTCCCAGTAAACACAGCGAGGCGTCTGGTTCTTCCCTGATGGAAGGGTGGCTGCAAGCGTAAACTCCAAGGGTTCTGGCAGCATGGTGATCTCTCCATCCGGGCCGAAGAGGACGAGGCTCAGGACCTGGGACCCCAAAATCTCCGAGGAGTTGTGGTCAAATCCCCCTTCACCCAGGGCCGCAGCGCTGATCACGGCCGTGCCATTACCCACAAGCTGGCTCAGAAGGGTCGGGCTGAGAGCCACCGTCGCGGCCTCAAGGGAGATGACCACGCTGGCATTTCCATCCCCGGCTAGGGCCTGCGTGAGGATCGAAGCGCCACCCACAGACTCCACGCGAACGCTGCCCTGGCCCTGGGACAACATCTGCTGGATCAGGTTCGCCTGGAAGTCCTCCAGGGTGGCAAACTTGAGAAGAGGGCAACAGCATGCGAGATGGCAGCGCGAGCGAGCATTTTCCCCATTATTCCTTCTTATTCCGGTGGAACGTGGCGGGCTTTGCTGCTTAACACGGGAGAAACTCACAGATGTCTGGCAAGAACGCTTGCCCGTCGACAATGATGAGTCTAGGCTTATCTAGGTGCGGTTTAGGTTTTAGGGCTTAGGGCTTAAGGGGTTCAGGGGTTTAGGGGTTTAGAGTTTAGGATTCAGGGGCTCGTGGGTGTACGGTCTAGAGAAGAAACTCATAGAGGTGACATGGCAGAAAGGTAGTGGGGGGATGGGGGGGGGGGGGAGGGAGGAAGTGACCCAACAATCAACTGACATGGTCCTTTATGACTGATGAAGTCAAAGGGGCCCTATCAACTTTGGATTTATGCACTTGATGAAGCCCAACGTCCCTTGTTTCACCCACCGAGAAGATCTAGAAAGGACAACTGCAACAAGTTTCAAAAGAGCTAGCGTTCATGATTAAACCCAGCCTTCAACAGAAATATTAAAACATGACCAACAATGACAGGGAAAGCCTCATTCTCTTTGCATTTCGGCAGGAAACCCTTCTTCGCTCTAGCTTCGAGCAGGAAAATGCTGTGCCTGACGGTGATTGTACTTGCTTTGATGCGCATCCCGTCCTCCAGGTCCTCCACGCCCGACATTGATGTGAATGTGGACGATGAGGTTGCTGAGGCCGTGAAAGTCGTCGACGTGAACGTGGGTGATGAAGTCGCTGACAATGTGAACGACGTAGATGTCGAGCTTGATGGGGATGTCAACGCCAAGGTTGTCGACGATGTAGATGTCGAGCTTGATGAGGATGTCATCGACAAGGCTGTTGAAGATGTAGACGTCGAGCTGGATGAGGATGTCATCGACAAGGCTGTTGAAGATGTAGACGTCGAGCTGGATGAGGATGTCGACAACAGGGTTGTTGACCATGTAGTGGCCGTTGAAGATGTGGATGTCAATGGTGAGCTTGATGTGGTTGTCGACGATGCGTATGAGGTCGTCGATGATGTAGATGTCGAGCTGGTCCTGGTCGTTTCCGTCGAAGTCCCAGACGAGGTGTGGGACGAAGTCGTTGTCTTCCCTGTGTCGTGGAGCATTGTGCTGAACGTCGTGCTGATGGTCGTGCTGAGCGTTGTGCTGAGCGTTGTGCTGATCGTTGTGCTGAGCGTGGTGCTTGAAGTCGGGCTTGCGGTAAGGCTTGTGGTGCTGGTTGCACTCGTGCTCGTGGTTGCACTCGTGCTTGTGGTGCTTGAAGCGCTTCCGCTGACGAAGGCCTCCAAGTCGTTCACCTCCACGCCGTCTGACTTCCCACCGAAGACGTACAGCCGGCTCTCGGCCAAACTCCAAATGGCCGTGTGGTCAAGCCGTGCTTGGGGCGGCTCTTCGAAGCTGATCTGCTGCCAACTGTTTGTCCCACTGTCATAGTAATGCAAGTCGTTCAAGGGGGTCTCGGATGTGCTACCCCCAAAGACATACATCCGGCTTTCGGCCGGGGACCAAGCTGCTGGCATGCTGCTGCGAGCACTCGGCACAGAGCCACTGGGGGAAAGCAAGGACCACAGGCTCCCTTCCGCTGCAAAACAATACCTTGAGTTTCAAGGTCTGTAGACTTGGCTACCAAAACAAAATGGGTCTACAGCCTGGGGGGGATCAGAATGAATCAGAAACGTTTGTAGCAAAACCGGGCGATGGTTTGGAAACTGCCTACATGTGAAGAAACCGCTTGATTTGATCCGCATATGAGGTGCAAATCCTGCAGCTTCGTTCCCGCACCATCGTCGCCACCAAACACATACAGCCTGTGAAGGTCGTCGTCCCATGCAGCTGCATGTGCGAAACGCGCGCTGGGTGGGCTACCACTGGGGAGGAGCTCTGCCCAAGTGTTGTTCGCGCTGCAGTAATAGTGGAGGTCACCAAGCGCCCCCTTGGTGCCAACTCCACCAAAGACATACATGCAGGAGAAATCAGTGCTCCAAACAGCAGTGTGGTAGTATCGAGCTGGTACGGAGCCGTCAGGACTAAGCTCGTGCCAGGAGTTGTCATGACTTCGATAAGACCATAACTCATCTAATGGACTGTTCCCCCTCCTTCCGCCGAATAGGTACATCAAGCTGTCACCTGTGCTCCACACTGCCGAAGCCATGCCACGTGAGCTGGGCGAGTTCGATGGGCTCAGCTGCTGCCAGGACGTGTCTTGGCTGTCAAAATAATGGAGGTCGTTCAAGTAACTGTTGCCACTCGGAGAGCCTGGAAAAGGTTCAATATATGTTTTGGCTTATAGTATAAGGTTTGAAGCTCATGGGCACCTGGTCACCTGGCTTACTTTGGGCCCAGAACGTTCCGCACCATTCACACCTTCAACACGGGCGCCTCCGAAAACATACATTCGGCTTTCGTTGTCGCTCCACACAGCGGCATGAACGCCCCGGGCTTTAGGTGGACTGCCCGTAGGAGATATCTGAAGCCACACGTTTGACACGTTTGCTGCCAAAGGAAGGAAAAACAAGAAGACCACCAAGCCCGAAGCCGTCGAAGCCATGGCAACGAATACCAACCGTGACTACAAGTATTGGCCAGAAGCTTCACGAACTGCTGCATGCCGTGTTGAAACCTGCTTGCGCGCTTAAAAGTAAGAGCCTAAAAGATTTTCGTGTGGACATTGGACTTAAGATGTTTGATTACTCGGCTACAAGCACATGTCGCACGCACAGCTTGCAGCTTGCAAAGGGGAGTAAACAACCTTGTCATGGCGCAATCTGACACAGATGCATACACCCTGACTGCGTAAGGCCGCTCGGTGAGAAATTTCGCATATGCGATCTGCTCCCTCAAGAGTCTCAAAAAAGTACTGTAAATGTTTGGGATCTGTTGCCCAAAGTTGGAGGAAAGCACACACTCGCCAAAACAACAAGCTCAAAGAAAAGCTGACATGTCAAATGCAAGCACCCATCATCCTCGGAATCAATATGCACATTACAAAGCAGGAACCCTAAACCCTAAAACCCTAAACCCTAATGCTTTGCCGGGAGCCTGTTCAAGCCCTTTTGCTTAGGTTCATTCTTCTTACACTGACATGCCAAAGACTGCTCACTGATCTGCTGATGTAGAAAGAAGCCTCCCGTCAAAAAAAACCTCAAACCCTTAACCCTAAGCCCTCAACCCTAAACCCTCAACCCTAAGCGGGCTCACGGTATTTCACAGTCACCGGGCGGGAGAGAAAGACCAAATTTCAGTCAGCTCGCACACGAGTGAAATCTGTGTCCGCCACAGTTCTTTCTAGTCTGGCACCCTTCAGATGGTCGGCGTGCAAATTAAGCGGGAGCCAACGGACAATCAGCTTTTGCAAAGGAGCGCAAGTTATTCTTAAGCAAATAGCTCTCAATAAACCAGTTGCGATATGAACACTATTTTCTTGGCATGTAGTGGTCTTTTTTTGCTCGCTCCTTTACCGCGTCAGCAGCACCGTTGCGGCGTGTAAAACAACGCTCTCAACCAAAAGCAACAAAAAACTAAAAGCAACTACATAAATCCGGCAACAAGGTGAAACGTCCAGGCTCTTAGTTTCCGTCGACGGCAAAATGGTGAACCAATTCTTTTTTTAAGCGGGCGCCCTTTACCACATCAGCAGCACGGTGGGCCGGTCTATTGCAACAAGGTAAAACGAACATGAGACTACACGGCAAAGCAGCAACAAAACAGCCAACACAAGCCCAATTACCGCGTGCTCCTAGGTAAGACAGCCCGTGCTCTCAGTGCAAGAAGAGGTCAAAATGTTGACTGCAGTTGGTTTCCCAACGACACAGAGACGGAATGCACGTCCGCAAAATGCGGATTCAGCATTCTGATGCACATGCCAGGCTAAAGCAAAACCTCCATCTTCAGTTTATCCCCTGCTCAGCTTTTAAGTAAGAATGTTTCCGTAAGCAAAGCCACTGCCTAGTCATCTTATTACCTTAACATTACCATTCTTGCAAACGACAACCGTATCCACAGGCAAAGAGGATCAGAAGCTTGCATTACTTCTCATTGCCACTGCGGCTAGGCAAACTTTGCTGGGGAAGAAGCTGCGGTTTTAGGCAGCACATCCCCGGATGGGGATGTGCTGCACAACGTTTGTTCGTCCAAATTCTCTTCTATTTCTGCATTCCAGTACGACTGCCAGGCAAAAGCAGAACCTCCATCTTCAGTTTATCCACTGCTCAGCTTTTAAGTAAGAATGTTTCCGTAAGCAAAGCCATTGCCTAGTCATCTTATTACCTTAACATTACCATTCTTGCAAACGACAACCGTATCCACAAGCAAAGAGGATCAGAAGCTTGCATTACTTCTCATTGCCACTGCGGCTAGGCAAACTTTGTTGGTGAAGAAGCTGCGGTTTTAGGCAGCACATACCCGGATGGGGATGTGCTGCGCAACGTTTGTTCGTCCAAATTCTCTTCTACTTCTGCACTCCACTACGACTTGCATGAGACTTGCCAGCACCGGAAGCGCCAGTTCCAAACGGCATACTTCACCTTGCTTTCGTACATCATTTGCTCTCAAAGTGGAAAGCTGGATACTTGAGCCTATTTCCCTAACCCAGGTATAATTGTGTTCCGCGTACTTCCGGCAGTTCCAGGTGCGTGGCTGCTTTGGCCCAGTTTTCAAGTGGTTCAGAGTTGGCCAAGCCCCAGTGTCAAGCTCCGCTGTAAAACTTCTTAACCTAAAGACACAGACAACCAGACTGCCGCGACTGTCGCTTTTGGCACACTCAGCAGAGAAGAAAGGTAAGCTGCGTGCCTCTCGTGTTCTTTTTCTTCTTCAGCTCGTCTTGAGCCAAAGTTGAAAGTTAGTCGGCAACCGCCTGACTTTTCTAAGCACATGCCAAAAACAGCTTCATCAAGCTGCAGCACTGCTTCCATGCTTGCAAGTGCACTTGTGCATTTGCTACTTCTTGTATACTGTACAAAACTCTCTTCACAAACCATCGTAGTGTAAAGAAAACATGCAAAACCTGCTTCACGCTGCTGCCAAGCACATGCTACTAGGTTCACATGCTCACATGTCCTCGCCACAGCTCACTGCACATGAAAATGGTTGAAGACATCCCACGGCTTACCAGAGTTGGTGTAATCACATACATAGCACAGAAAAACCACGCCAACGCATATGGCCCGGCATAGTGTTTCTGTAAAACGAAGATCCCAATGGAGATACAAGACTGTGCCTCCAGATGTTCATCTTCCCTCGCACCAGATCATCCCGCAGTAGTTTCGGGGTGATTTGAAGATCATCTCCCACGCTGGCCGCTACCTCACAACAGCTGTAGTTGTGACACCATATCGAAAAGCAGCCACCAAAACCACTAGATTGCCCAAGAGCCATACCCATCCCAGATGCCTGCATATCACTCAAGCAGTCGGGGACGAATCCAGCAATCTGCACACGGGCAAAGTCCATGGATCCTGGAATTCTTCTTGCACATGCTTGCACCCCTCGAGATGGTACTTGTCACCATACTTCGAGAGATAGATTGTTGATGCTGAATCTGCAACGGCTTTGCAAACTCCACATGGCAGCACACTCCTGATAAGGTCAGGATTGCTCGACTGCTTTGTTGCACAATCTCGTGTTTTGTGGAAGCTAACAGTCTCATCATCATCCAAAAAGATCTCATAGAGGTGGCGATTCCGAAAGAAGGCCCCATCAGGTTGCTCCCTGACCGCTTCAGCTACACTCTTTGCCTTTGCCTTTGGCATAGCCTTTTATCTTCCCAAGTTAGACTTTGGCGGCTTCCTCTCGGAACCTTCATCCTCATTCACCACTCTGACTGTAATCACTGTAATCATAGAAGGTCGGATGCAGACTGTAGTGGCAAATGCTCCAAGCAGCATTCCCATCATAAGAATAGCAGCGCAAAAGATCGTAAACTCATCCATGGCGTCGCAAGGACTAGAAGCTCAAAGTTACAAGACAGTGCTCTGAAGTGCCAGTCACGTCGAGAGACGACCAGAACACAAGACAAAATTCCGCCACATGATTTAAAATCATGTACGCTTCCAGAAGAGGACGACACACACGAACTTAAAAGGATTGCATGGCCTGAATGATACCTCGCGCCAACCTTTGGTTGTAGTACCCTGCGCGATGCCAATCCGTATCGCCAAACGTAGCATGTGTCACACAGTTGCATGTTCCGAACATCAAGTGAAGCGCTCGTGCAAACATGGGTTCTGATGACATGAACCGCAACTGTTTTTCAAAAACACGGAACGTTGGGCGATTTTGGACCCAATGAGCTTCAAGACGGTTGAGGTGATCCGCGTCTGTTTTTTGATCTCGGAGATGTGTCCGACTTCCAACTCAAGGCCGCGTGGGTCCAGCTGCGGCCCAAATCTCCTTTGCTCGTCTGACGGTTGCAGGCTGAGTCGGAAGGCGAATATGAGCTCTTGGCCTCTTTGACGCTGCAGCAACATGCTGAAGGCTAAGATGGAGGCCTGGCCCCCCTTCACTTTACGGCCTACCACTGGCGGCTGAAAGCCAAATTGGCCAAGAGTGCGGCTTCGAAGTTGAGGCTGCCACTAAGGGCCGAAAGCTCACAGAACTGCTTGGCTCCTCTTGCGGTTGTGGTTTCAGGCTGAGGGAAAAGATACGAGCGTTGGCTCTCAACTGGACATTGCGGGCTGAGGCTGAAAATGCGGGCTTGTCCTCATGGTCTCCCCGTGCGGTTGCGGCTTCAAGCGGAAGGCCAAGATAAATGCGGGCCCCCCTGAGACTGCGGCTCGACGGGGGCTGCAACCTGAGGCTGAAGGCGAAGATGCGGGTTTTTTTTTCCTTTCAGGCGTCCGCTTGGGCGAAGGCTAAGATAATGCTTGCTCGGCCCGGGCAAGATCAAGGTTTGAGGCTGAAGTCGAAGGCGCGGGTTTATTCTTGAGGCTGCCGCTCAAGGTTGCCGCTTCAAGCTGAAGGCCCGGATAGTTGACTCCGGCTCAAGTGGGGGCAGCGCTGAAGGCGAAGATGCAGGCCTGTCCTCCTTGAGGCTTCCCTTCGAGGCCTACGATCTTGAAAGCTGAGGACAAAGATGAAGGTTTCGAGACCCCTTGAAAATGTGGCTCGACTGTGGGCGGCGGGCTGAGGCTGAAGGCGAAAAATGTGGGCTTGTCTTTGTGAGGCTGCCGTTTCGAGCGCCAAGACAACTGGTTTCGGCTTTGGTCCCCCTGAGACTGCAGCTCCACCGGAGCCTGCGGGCTGAGGCTGAAAGCGAAAATGCAGGCTTGTCGTCTTGGAGGCTCTGGCTTACAGGCTGCCGGCAGAGGCAACGAGAAAGGCTTGGGTGCTTTGGGGCTGCGGCCTAGCGCGGAGGGCGGCAAAATCCCCGCCAAGAGCGCAACCAGAACGTCTGCAATTGGTCAGTGCATGGGCAACTCCATAATGAAGAGTTATAGCCACAACAACTTTTCGGATACAAGTATAAATCCCAATGCACGTTTATAGACACCTGACGAATATAAAAGTTGAATCCCATGCGAATAAACAAAGCACCCCAGTGGACTCATTAGACAAGTACTCAACTTATCAACTATCCCCAGGGCGGGAGGGCGGGTTCTTGAACCAGCAGCCACGCATGGTTCACCTTCGTCACTAGTGTCAGTGACTCAAGTTCACGTTTTGCATCGGCTGGAGTTTGCACACGGTTAGAAGTCATCTGCTGGAAATTTCGTCAGCAGGCAAGAAAACTATCCCAAGTCTCCCGTACATCCCAACCGTGTGCAAAACAGGCCTCTGGGCCATAGTCTGTACCAGATACTGCAATGAACTCCTTGTTTGTGCCAGACCATGGCTTGCGACAGAAGTGCTGTGAAGCCGGCCGCGACCTGCTGGATCTTGTCCTTCTGCTCCCGTGGCAGCGAGGGCAGAAAAAGAGACGTAGCAATCTCTTGCAGGTATGTCTCCATGACTCGGGCCGAGGCCCACCGCCCACGGCGGCGCACCAGCTCCAAGTCTTCACACAACTGGAGCAAGAAGGTTGCCCCTCCGGCTCTGAATGAGCCGAGATCAATCGGCCGTGTGCCTTGAGGAGCAGGGGAGGCACCGATCCTTGCCAGAAGTGTGTCAAGCCTCTTTCGGAGTGTCTGAGGCGAGTACGGCCACAACTTTTGATCTCCACCGAGGCCCCTGAAAGCGAGTACTATAATCTGAACCAGGTCCTGGGCCTCGATCTTTGCTGACTGATGTCGCGGTCCTCGCTGCCTAGTCTTTGGCTCTCCTATGCTCAGCAGAACATAGTCCTGAGAAAACAGGACGTCCTCAGGCAATATCAAAGAGCGCCGACAGCTTTGGAGCACCTCGCCTATTCTCATAACGCCCCCAAAAGCCAGAGCAAAGCACCCCGCTTCTCTAACCCAGCCCAAGCATGCTGCCAGGAGCGCGATCAGGACGACGGGCGGTATCGCAGTATGGTGAACTGTTGGTTCCTCAGCCTGCCACACGAAGCAAAGATCCCAAGCTATCTGAACCTGACGTCTGAGCACCGGCTTCCTTGAAGTCAGAGCGTTAATCGTTTCGGAGAAATGCCAGTAGGGCCTCCCTGAGCCATAGAGGTCTCTGCCATATCTTACCAACCAATCTGCAGCAACTTCAGCATCAAAGGGTTTCGCGCTCAGAAGGCCATCCAGGTCGAAGCCACCAACCTCCTGAAGCCATTGCGAAAAAGCTGCGAGCCACTTATCCCTCTTAAACCCTGTACGAGACAAGACAAGACGACCGGCAGGGAGGTCTGGGGTCCTCCTGGCTGCTCGAGCAGCATCAGCCGCATTTCGGGGGCTGAGAAAAGTGGCCGACGTGATGCAAAAACAGGCTGTGAAAATGAGGAAAGACAGGTTTGCGGGCCCCTCACCTGGGAAACCAAGGGAGGCGTCAAAGTCAAGGAACTTCTTTCCCTCCGACTCATGGCGGCCCGTCTTCCTCTGACCCGGCAGAACGAAACCCAGGCTTCTGGCGGCCCTACGGTCATCACGGTTGAGGAGTTGGGGGGACTTAATGCTATAAGCAACCGCAACCTTCCTATACCCAACCCAAGGCCTGGTCAGGTGAAGACGATGCCCGTCGAGAAAAACTGGGCCCTGCGCAACTTTCAGCAGCTCACCCTTGACAGGCCGGCCTTGTATGGTCTCTGTGAAGTCGCCAGCTCCCCCAGCAACCCAGACTTCCCCCCCCTCGAAAACCGAAAGAGGAAAAATGAGGCTTGGCCATCTTTCATGGTTCATCGAGTCTCTGTGAGGCTGAGATCTGACCTGGCAGAGCAGGGCTATGCTGGTGAAGGCGAACCCTGGCGCGATCTTCTGAACAACCCTGCAGGCAAGCTCTGTCGAAAAGGGAAATTTCCGGACTGGGGAGCGAAGGCCGGTCAGCGGGCCTTGCTGGTACGCGCCACTAGTCCAGTACTTCTCATCAACGGTCCTCTCATTGCGAGAGCGGTACCCTTCTCAACTTTGGCAGCGGTCCTGCTGCTCCGATGCGTGAGCTCTAAAGAAGGCAGCACAACGAGCAAGCTCCGGGCCCTGCCTGTCCCTATGAGGTAAAGAAGCCACTCAAGCACCGACGGCTTGAGCACATCGAACTCGCTGGAACAGCCGAGGTCTATGATGGGAGAGACCCTCATACCAAGCCTAGCACATGCCTCGGCGGGGGGCTGAGACCCAGCAAAGAGGCAGAGGGCATCAAAGTCGAAAGCAAGAGGCCTGGGGGGGTCGTCGATCTCGAGGGCCTCAAGCTCGTTATGGTTCGGGCTTCCTTCGGGATCAAGTTTTGTGTAGCATCCTTTTTTATCTGCCGATAGCCAAAGAGAAGCTGCCACTTCGGGTGAGGCCTCGGAAGAACAGAATGCTCCTTTCACACTAGAGGAGTCTGAGCAGTAAATCCGGTCACAAAAGCTCGCAGCAACATTGGACATCATGACTGGCGCGAGCGAGGCAAGGAGAACAAGCTCCTGAGCCTCCTTCCTAGGGAGAAAACGAAGGTGACTGCCTGAAGCCTGACCTGGGTCGGACTTCCCCAAAGCAAAGAAACCATCGAAAATGGAGAAAAGGCACCTCCTGAACATGAGTGCAGAGATCCAGGAACCTGAAAGCGATGACGCAAGCTCCTCGGAGATGGCAGGCAGGGCGGCCGCTCGGAGGCTGATGACAGAGAGCGCCAACAACTTTTCAGTGGGGGCGGAGACAAAGACGCGCCCTGACGCAAGAGGGCCGCTAGAGGAATCAACCTGGGCCCCTGCAGCAGTGAAAACCTCAGAGCCTAGCACATCTTTGTGAGGGGAGCCAACGACTCCTTCTGCCTTGTATGTTTCTTTGGCCTTCGCAACGAGGTCTGCAGCAGCAGAAGACAAAGGGTCGGTCTCCCTTGCCTCGACGGAGAGAGCGAAGAAATCGTCAATGATAAGAGCCTGCCAGGGGCCCGTGCGGGACGGCGCGCGTTTAGCTTGCAAACGGTGAGGAGCTTTGAGGAGCCCTGCCCTGTTGAGCATCTCCCCATGAGCCTCGGTGGCAAAATCCACCCCAGCATGGTCCCCCTGATACAGAGATTTGAAGCACCTGCAGACCTTGGTTTGGGGGTCAAAGAGCAGGGAGGGAGGAACTTGGGGCGAAACGAGGCAAGAAGCTCCAAACGCCTCCGCAGAGCTGACGCCTGACCTGAGAGAAACAGCAGCAATCTCCCTGACGCTAGAGAGGGTCTTGGTTCCCTCGAGATCGCGAAGCCGGAAAGGAGGGCCAGTGGCATTCCCCTCAATCTTTGAAGCGGAGATCTTTGCCTGGTGATAGAAATCGGCCCTGTCCGTGGAAGCCCCGACAAGCTTTGACCCCCGTGGCACAGTGAGGCAAGTGAGGAGATGCCCCGGCGGGAGCTCCCGTGATGGCCCTCTGACTCGTCCCTCCAACCCATTTGCCCCTCTCCTATCACCGATCTGTCGGTCATGCAGATCGGTTTTATAGGCTCCGAAAACTCGAGTGAGCTCTCTGGGCTGCTTTTGCTCAAAGGAAAGATAAAGGAGACCTCTGCTATCCCAAAGTTTTAGAAGCTCAAGAGTGCGGTCCCTGTTCTCAGACAGGGTGTCTGGGAAAGGAAGGGCGTTTCGCGGAATAGCTCGCAAGACCTTGGGCTCAAGGAAAGGAAGCCTCAGCTCAGGACCAAGGTACTGCTCAAGGCCCCACTCACCGCTCCCAGTGATTTTCAGCCTAGCCGGGTCGGCGTCTCTGTATGGCCTGAGAGACTCAGGGCCACGCGCATCATGCGGAACAAAGGAGGAGAAGGAAGCCTCCCTAGGGTAGGGGAAAGTTGAGAGACCAAGAGAGTTCAAATGCTCGCTCAACTCCCGAAGACGGGCGACAAGGTGAGGACCTCGCCTCCCAGAGGAAAGAGAATGCTTTCCTTTAGAAACACGCGCCTAAGCATCGAACTGAGCCTGGCATAAGCCTTCAAATGGAACTCGTTCGGACGCCTCCGAAGGCTCTCCTCGGGGACATGGCGGCAGTCGGAGTGCAGGAAGTTCAAGCTCATGACGACAATATGCAGAACCTTTCAAAGCAAAGTGTCATGGTCCCTGCCAGCAGCCAAGTCACCGGGGTCAGACCTCGGGTTGCCAACATCGAACAGCGTTATGTCCGGAACAGGCAAAGGGAAAAGGGCGGAGCTAGGAGCACAAGGACCCCTGTGGCGAATGCAAAAGGTCTTCCTTAAGAAACGAGCGAAGGAAGTACGCGAAGATAGAACAAGGCGAGGTAAGGCCGAGGCCCAACTCCAAAAGTCGAACTCAGAGCAAAAGCCTGGAACGCCGTCAAAAGGGCTGATGCCAGGCACTCCTTCACGGTCATGGTTTGAGGGCTCAGACGAGGGGCTTGTGGGATTAGGTCCACAGGAAGAACCAGGTTCCTCTATGAAGGGTAGGAGCAACCTGGGTGGACTGAGAAAACGCCGAGCCGGCTCGGGCTGGACCACTGGTCGTGCTTTTCGAGGACTTCCGAGAGAGGGTCCCAGAAGCCTGGGGTTCAGAGGAAGCTTTGGGGCTCGCAGGCGTGAAAGCAGGGGGCGTAGGGCATCCTATACCCCCCAAAAACTTCAAACCACTAGGCCTAGGAACCCTATCTAACCCTTCGGCTGGGAAGCTGCTTTCCGCTCGGCCCAAAGCTTTGCTCGGTGTTGCTTCTTTGACAAGGGCGCGGGAGGCCCTTCGTGAGTGGACGCAGGCGAGGCAGGTGTCGCTTTTCTCGAAATCTCCGCTCTGCGATTTGCGAGTGTCTCCATCTCCTTTACAAAGGCCAACGCTGTTGCAATCCACTTTGGGTCTGACAGATGAGAGTACGGCCTCAGAGAAGAGCCTGGCACGTTGAGAATAGCGAGGCCGGTGGATCTTGTTGCAGCGTAAGAATCCAGCCGAGCTCTGGAGACCCAGCATCTAAGACCAGCTGGTCGACCATTAGCATGAGGAGAGCAAGGGTGTCCTTCACTCCCTCCACCTGACCTGACCCTAACAAGTCGAAAACCTGCCCTAGCTGCCATTGCACTAAACCCCAAGTGCGCTGATCCCGGAAACCCCCATACCTCTCGAGGTAGCGGCACATCACTGACTTTCCTGCGGTCACTTCTCCTATCATTGAGAGGTCTGCAGTGGGCTCCATACGACGCAGAGCTGCTTCTTGTACTCGCTTGTAGAACGTCCCCCCCCTGGCCCCAAGCTCTTGCTGCAGACGAAGGCGCGAGTTTGAGCCCTTCGTGGAGAGGCTCGAGCTCGCTCCGGGCGAGAGCTCTGAAAGAGGATCCGATGCATTTGCAATTTGGGCCACAAGAGCAGTCAGAGCACGGCTTTGGGCCATCATGGCCGCTGCAAAAGCCCCGCCACCACCTCCTTCTGCGAACTCTTCGCCAGTAGAAAAGGGCACAGCCTGACCTTCCTCCAGATCGACCACGGTTTCTATTTGCCCTCGGTTCCTGGGAGGAGGTCCCAACAGGTCTGCCACAGTCCTGGGCCCCACTGGCGAGGCTGCAATGGTTGAGGAGACCGGCGCTGCGAGGGCCGCTCTTGCAGAGGCGCAAGGCGGGAATGAGACGGTGCCTTGACCTGTTGAGGAGTCCTCTCCTCTCTGGAACCTGACAGAGCGAGATGCTGAACCTGGGTTGTCAGGGCCTGCAGAGCCTCTGCAATCTCGAGCTGCTGGGCCGCAAGCACTGCTACAGTTGGTTTTTTCTTTGCTTCTGGCTTGGCTTTCCTGCTGAGAGCCTTTGGAGCCACATCTGGGATCAACTCCTCCGCCGTAACGTACCCTGCCCCTCGCTCTCCTTCCAGTCCGGAAATCCAAGCGGTGGCGAATGTGACCAGGGCGGTGGCCAAAGGGAAAAGAGAAGGAGCCACCTCGAGGAACGGGACACACTCGGCCAGGCCCTCCTCCAAAACCTCGACTCCCGCCGCCGCAGCATCTTCGAAGTCCACCAGAAGTACTTCCAGCACTCGAGGCAAGCCACTCCCCGGCATCGGAAAGCTCAACTGCAGGGGCAGTTGTGCTGATGTGCGGGCCAAGGAGGCCGACAAAGTTTTCGGCCCGAGCACCATCCAGGACCTCCTCCGGAAGGAAGTGTGGAGGCAGAGCAAGCAGGAAACCTCCAGGGCGCTTTAGCACGCAGTAACACACGGCCGGAGGTCCTTCCCCCTCCAGACCCAAAGCTGAACGGAAGTCCATACGTAGAAGGGTCACCTCTCCTCCCTCGGCAGGCAGAATGTCTTCGAGACTCATTGCGAGAGTGAGGAAGGGTATGCCAACCCTGCAGCTGCAACATAGATGCGGGCTTCCACTTCAGTAGGGAAGGCATGCGAAACGGTGAGACCGCTCCGGAAGTTATCCACCAGCTGCAAGTACAGAGACCGATCAGCAATAACTTGGACGTGGCTGCTGAAAAGGGTCCTGAGGACAACGAAAAATGCGATTGCTGAAAGCCAATCAGGGCGTGCAGTTAGGGAAGAGCACCTCCCTTGCAGAACGGCACCGAGGGCTTTCCACAGTTGACCTCAAGTTCCTCGCAGTATCGGCCAACACAGCCGGGAAGGAGGCCTCAATGATGGACCTAGGCTCGGGCGAGCCGAGGGGGCTTAGGGTGCGGGGATCTGACTAACCCTAGAACCGCCTCGACCTATCAACCCAACTCCAAGTGACGAGGCTCTCAGGGCCTCGGTGTGCGATGGGGAGGCTTGCGGGCACAGGCCTTGCACGGTGAAGAGAATTGCCGCGGGACCTGGCGATTGAAATCCTGAGGCCTTCGAGCTCCAGGGACAGCTGAGTTAACGAGTCTTCTTCAGGGACGGGTGTGCCCATACAACGCCAGTCTGGCCGCACCGGGAGAAGGAGACTCGAGAACCCGGGCCCGAGAGAGAGACGATGAATGCGTGATTCTCGGAAGAAGATTGAGTAGATTATCACTGAAACCAAGCAGGCTGCACAGATGAAGCCGAGAAGGAAAGAGAGGGCGAGTGCAGACCAAGTGGTACCCTGACAGTGGACGGGACAACGAACCCCACAAATCAGTCTTAACCCCTTCCGAAATCAAAGCAAGAACCTCCCGAAAGAGGGGCCCCCAAACCATTCTTGAACCAGCAGCCACGCATGGTTCACCTTCGTCACTAGTGTCAAGTACTCAACTTATTCACTCGGGCGCGATTGTTCTTTTTTTCTTCCGATGGCAATGCCACAAGTCGGGAGAATCCAAAAGCCCTCCCAGGGCCTCCAAGGTCACGCATCACACGTACACGAGTGAGCGCGCCTTAGACATCCCCGGGCGGGTGGGTGGGGAAAGAATTTTTCAGGCTCCCTTTCTATCTCAAGTGCTTTCAGCCCACAGCTTGAGAATGCAAATGAGTTCAAAGTGCAACGCCTTGACTCAGTGACTGAAAGATTCGCAATCTTTAAAAATCATCATGCTCTCAAGTTCCCCAAATTCTGCAAGCGGCGTCATGAAGAGTAAAAGTTAAAAACCATGAGGCACGCAAGTTGCCAAACGAGGCAAACAGCTTCCAACGCTACAAAGATCCGAAAAGCGAGTTTCAAAAGTGACCAGACAACTTTTGAAACATTGTGTGTCTATAAAGCTATAGGAGACGAGTCTCCAATCAAGCTTATAGCCACAACAACTTTTCGGATACAAGAATAAATCCCAATGCACGTTTATAGACACCTGACGTTGAATCCCATGCGAATAAACAAAGCACCCCAGTGGACTCATTTAATAGAACAGACAAGTACTCAACTTATTCACTCGGGCGCGATTGTTCTTTTTTTCTTCCGATGGCAATGCCACAAGTCGGGAGAATCCAAAAGCCCTCCCAGGGCCTCCAAGGTCACGCATCACACGTACACAAGTGAGCGCGCCTTAGACATCCCTCTTCAACTCAAGCGGGCTCAGGAGTTCGCCTGACATGCAGCATGATCACGAGAGCAGGTGCCCCAGAAGGGAAAGGTTGACGAGCCTCTTGAGGAAGTCGCGCTTGACCGAGTCCACCATATGCAATGTCTCCGCAATACCCCCTTAGCAGGCGCTATTGGGCCGCTATGTGCATGAGCTTGCGTGGCGACCGGCGGACCTCCAGGCAAGTCGACCGGGGTTCCTCCCCCTTCTAATCGGATATGGCGGACCGCATTCTAAGTTGGCGATCCTGCCAGGACCTGACTTGTTTATGGCAAACCGCTTCGCTGAAGCCATTCCCCCACCATTTGTCCATGGGTACGGTGCAAAGGGTAAAAGCATCTTGCAACAGTGGGGTGGCGTGCACCGGCTCCCCACCCTGCCTGAGGCCGTGTGGGGCAACGGGAACACGGTCCCTCTTTGGGCTCACTCTCTTGCCCAGCAAGTCCCTAACGAAAGCACTCGCCCGGTCTGTCAGTTGGACCGAGGCACACGCTACCCCCATCAGCGAAGCTCTGACAGCGCGGTCTAAATGGCGGTCAACTTACCCACAGATTTGCTTGGTCAGTTTACTGGAAAGGTGGTTACCAGGGGTAAGCCGGAAAAGCTCCTCACTGTCAAGGAAGTGTCGATAGGAGTCCCCCCCGTTGCCGAACGTGCCAGCTTTCAAAAAGAAATACAGGCGTGCCCCCTTTCTTGTGGCGCGTAATCATTGCTTCCGCTTTAGGCCGAAAGATACAATTGATGATGGACCAATGCTAATAGCATACGCAAGAATGTACCGCAGCATTGCCCGTGGTCTGGCGATGCCTTCCATGACGTGTCTCAATCGGAAAGAAGTTGCAAAGGCTGGGGCTTTGTTGCCGCTCATGCCATGCAACCGCCACCTCGGTGTAGAAGCCAGCGGAGAACCTCTAAGACGCAGGTTGCACTTGCCTGCTCTGACAGTTTCCAGGCCGAGATGCATGCCGTCAACGCTCCCGTATGCACCAAATTCTAGCTTTAGAAAGCACGCGCCCAGACTTAAGGGGCTTGTGGCAACAGTAACAGGGCATGCAATGCATTGCAGCTGGACAAGAGCAGTAGAGTTTTTGTGTAAGGTCATATCTTCCAGGCAGCGGAAAAACCCGCTCATGTGCCATGGAAGTCCTTGTGGCATGTCTTACCGGTAAGCTTACCCTTTACACGGCTTACAGTGATAAGTTGGTGCAGGCTTACCCTGAGCATCCGCTATTGATTTGGATCAATATCTTGATTTTGAAGGGCGCCAAAATCAAGATGAATATTTATTTTTGGGTTATATAAAATCAATTTAAAAACTTATGGATTTGGGGATGAGAAATCAATCCAAAAATTTCAAAATAAGATCAATAGAAGGCAGCATCCAAAATCAATATTTTTCCCAGTTTCTATACCCTAAACATGGACATCTTTTTCTTCCATTGTTGGACAGCGTGGCAGTTTTCCCAAGAACATATATGTACAGCTTTTTTCCAAGAGGCAAAAAGATGCTCTTTTCCAAGAAGCCGGATATACAAAAAAAAAACATGTTCTTTTCCAAGAAGCCAGATATATGTACAGCCCTTTTCCAAGAGGCAAAAAGATGCTCTTTTCCAAGAAGCCAGATTTGTACAGCCCTTTTCCAAAAGGCAAAGAAGAAAGTCTTTACCAAGAGCCAGTTGCTCTTTTCCAAGAGGCCAAGAACCAACTCTTTTTCCAAAAGTCAGGTGTTTTCAAGAAAAATGCAGCTTACTCTCTACTGGAACTTGTGGCCCTGGGTCAGTAGAAAATGCAGGGCAGGGGGCACGTTCCGCCAACAAGCTCCGGTGGCCGCCGGAGGCACGTTGACCTGAAGATCGGTAACACGTTTCTCCGTCTTAGAAAACCTTAGCACATTTGGCAGACCAGCTGTGCGCCCAGAAGGCCCCTTTTGCTCGCCGAAAGCTGTACCCTACGATAAGTCCATAAGAGAAAACACGATCAAGCTGCGGGGATTGCTGCCCAGCATTGCTTGCAAGTCCAGGCACAGAGTTCCCAGAAAGCTTGCAGCAAATCGGTGTGATCGGGTTGTAAATCCAGTAAGAAGAAGCTTGTGCGGTAGGCACAGTTAAAAAAGATAAAACTTTTACGCGCTTAGAACTTAAACTTGTCGTTGCAGTGGGCAGTCCGTGGCCCCTCTTGGCTCAAGCCGCTTTGCTCAAGGTGGTTAAGCCACCAGGGACGCCGTAGAAGGGGTGGGAGTCCGTAGCTAAAGGTCTGGCTTGCTTGGAACCCTACACGAAGGTAGCGGCCCCCTCTGGGACAGCCTGGAGGCGTAGGTGTGCTTGGTGCTGTGTTTGCTGTGTAGCTGGGGGCTTCTTAGCATTGCGCAGTTTCTTGTGAGCGCCCGCTTGCAAGAAGAATCCAAAGGTTGGCTTTGGATTTCGCACTGTAAACACTTTGCAAGCTGCATTGGCTCTCTCTTAAGTCTTTGTGGGTTGAGCGCTCGAAAGTTGCGTCAACTGAGCCCTCAGTTGTCCTGCCACCTTTCTCTAACTAGTCGAGACTGAGAACGCCCGTTCTCTTTCTCTTTGTTTCTCTTTCTTGCTTTACTAGTGAGACTGAGAACGCCCGTTCTCTTTCTCTAACGCTTCTCTTTCTTGCAACCTGCTGAGATTGAGAACGCCGTTCTCTTTCTCTTACTTTTTACGTTGTGTTCCCTTTCTTTATTAAAGTTGGGAACGCCCGTCTCCTTCCTTGTTAAGTTGCTGAGTGTGAACGCACGTTCTCTTTCTTGCAAACTTCTTAAGGGTGGGAGCTTCCTTACTTTATTTGCACCTTTTGGCAAATTTGTCTTGCGCATTGTGCAGTACGGATAGCTTCGGCGTAAGGTATCTGCACCATGTCGCAAGATCGAATCAGCAACATCGATGGAAGCGCATTTCAGTGTCTTGCCGACTTTATGTTGGGTCATCTCACTGAGTATGATGCTCTCTTTGCCAGAACACCATCAACACATTTGCTGGAGTATCTTAGAGATGGATGCATCGTGTCTACACAAACTATGCAAGAATTGCGCCAAGTGCAGGGCTCAGAGCTCCAATCTATCTTACTCGTCAACCCTAGTAAGAGTTTCCTTCACAATCTAAGGAAGGGTCTTACACAACAGACGAGTATAAC